GCCTATGTGTGTCATGTAGCTCTCAGAGTAGATCCATAAAAGCACAAAAAGCAGGCATTATACCCTTGTAATAAATATGAATGAGCCTGTATATACCAGAACAGGGATAGGGCTATCCTGCGAACGTTGGATATGATTTGGACAAGTCCCGTGAATGAAATTTCAGAATTTCCTTGTTTTATTGGTATTTTTATCGAAACAAATTGTGGATAACATAAAATCAGCTGGTCAGAAGATTGAAGTTGAAATCCTGTATTTTTCTTAGCTTTGCATCGAGTAGGAGGCTCTCTACTGAGATATTCATTCTATGGACCTTAGTCAGAGAGAAACTTATATCAGAAAATTGGTAGAGCAATATTTCCCCTCTTTACGTGATTAATGTGACGGGTAATTCAGGGTGTATGGATTCCACAAACTAAAGGCAAGAATTTTAGTGCCTTTAGGTAATCCGAGCTTGAAAATCACTTTATCTCTAGCGTACGCGAGAAGGCCGAACAGCTGGAATTGATCCTGACTAGTGTTAATGCCTCCAAGTTGAGGTTGGTAGCAGTAGTAATTCGTCTAAATCTGATGGGAATGATGGGGGCAACTAAGAAGCATGAATATAGGCTTAGAAGGATGAAAAATTCTCATGCTATGGTTGTAGTTGGGTCCACGATACTTACCGTGCCGCAATTCAGATCAGGGTTATTCATAACCATTCTTAATATCGAGCTAAAATGATCGAATATGAGTGGCTCAACGTAAAATCACGATTACTCAGTCCCGACACGGATATTTTTCATGGAATGGGAAGGATAGTGTGGGATGGCAAAAAATAGGATTTTGGAGTGGAGGCTTCGGTTAACCTTGTTAGTCATTTCAATATACGTTATGAAGCTTCTGTAAATATTTGGAGCGAATCATTGGGGAATAGTAGACATGGGGAATGGTAGACATGGAGCATCTTCAACTCAAATAATCCAGGCAAAATTTACGTACCATTTAAGCCATCCCAAAACTCTAGTTCGGATGGTTACGCGACGCGGCCCAGGACTCCTCCGATTAACTGTGCGTGGATTATTCACTTGCATGGTGACGAGTCCACCGTCCAGGAGAAGGAATCAATGCGTCCAGGGCGAAATGGATAAAATCTTTATAGCTCCAAATTTAGATTCTGTGAACATTCATGTAATGATTTGGCGCCTAGAAAACATAAGACACAATTGTAGCATAGATTTTCTAGATCAATCGGTGGTGATGAAATAATTGATGTAATTTGTCGTCATTGTTAATTAAGATGAACTGGGCGAGCAACGGGAAAGCAGGGACAATGCTATTTTCATCTCCTAGAAAGCTTAAATGCGCTCCGGTGGGTGATAACGAAGGTAATGTGATGATATCTGTGGTTTACGTTTGTTCCAGCTTTGCGGGAGTGTGGTAGCGAGGTTTGAGGGGACACATTCTGTTGTAGTGCTACCGCCGAGACAATTAATACTTGGACCCAGTCACGTATTTGAGAGGGGGAACGTTACCTACTAACGATTACTTTTGCGTAGGAAATGTGCCATGCATGAATTAGATGGAAGGATGCAGATTCTCTGTCTTCGCTTAAAGGTGCGAGATCAAGATGAGCTCGGTGCATGTCCTTCTAGAACATGAGGCCTGCAGATCTTGTTAAGCTCCACCTAAGCTACGCCTAGCTTGACCTACTATCCTAGCAATTACCCAGGTAATTAAATGCCGCAAGCTGCTGCTCGAACGCTTCGCGCCCCTCGATCCGAACTAAAATCCACTCAACAGACGCTAATTCTGGTGTACAGGGCCGCCTATCCAATCTCCATGCTCCAAACCTCCTTTGGAGCCGAGGTCTTTTAGAACGATTGTCATGGTTTCCTCGCGCCTGAAATCTCCACTATTATTCATTTCAATTTACCACAGCCAGGTTGGAACTAGGAATGCGTGGAAACACAAGTTAATACGATAGATACGTATACCAATGATATGACGTAAATGGCAGAGTGCAGGCGACACTATAAACACTGCAATGGTTGGATGGTGCGGTGGTACATCGTCTTGGCCGGTCTGCCAAGTAGAGTCTGGATAGCTAGGACACATATCCCACTTGAGACAGCAGATCGCTGGTTCGAATCCGGCAAAACACAACCACATTTCTCGCGGCGCTGGTATACATAGATGACGAAGGCATACTTGGATAACCAAAGGTTTTGAAATTCTCTTTGGTGGGTACTTACGGAGGAGGGTCGACTGTTTGTGTAAGCAAGCATACCTCATAGTGGTATTTGCGAATGAAATCCAGAGTAAGAGTGTCTCTAACATCAAAAGAGTCATCCTACATGTATACATAGCACCGGTCATGTTTCATAGCTAGATAGCTGAATACACATTAAATGATTAAAAAAAAAGAGGTAAATGGCCATCATCCACGGTTCCTTTAGCGCGGGCCTTGGGTTCCATTTGTTGCCAGATATGCACTCGGGGCCACCGTTGCAAATAGACTTGGATCCCCATATTTTCTAAATTTCCTGTTAAACCCGAGAGAAAAATCACAATGTCTCACTAACCCAAATTGTGCAAGTTATGAATGGTCGGATAACATATATTCATTATGATCCATGGAGATTGCGACCGGAACTTGATCGTCGAGGGGCGGAGCGGGATGTGAGCTACTAGGACACTAAATAGAATTATATTTATTTTTACTTGTATGTTTCCGGTCGGGTAAAACTACGGCACAGACGCCTTATTCTGGCCACAAACATCATTTACAATCAATCAGCTATTCTCAATCTGTGTCTAGGTACAACATATGAGTCCTCTCTACATGTACACAAGGTGGTATATCCGCTTCCAAACCTTACCGACAACACCCTCCCCCTAACAGTGATATCTCTAACAAGCCTGCTTGAATCACACACCCTGAGTGGTACCAACCTCTTCAAAATTTCTGATTTAAAATCAATGAAATATGTCCACCTACAGGTACATTGCAGCAGCGAACATCCATGATAAACATTAGATGCAGGACTCCCTAGTACCGACATCAGGACTAAAACTAAAAACACGGTTTCCTTACGGAAATTTTCAGAGTTTAGTTTGCCAGCCGCTGGATAAAATTTTGTACCAAAGAGAACCAGAATCTGACTTCCTGGCTTCCTTTCAACTTGCATCATTCCATGCGACGCCTTGGATAATGTAGAATGTCTTATTAATACTGATGAAACAAGTGTCCCAAGCTGGGATCGCATTTAATCCAGCTCCGTAGATTATATAGTAAGAGCTGGAGGTTCGTAGAGGACCCAAAATATGATGAGTACTTGTCTTTATCTCAGGTACTATAACAGAGTTGAGATTTTATTTTGGTTCACGATATATCGTGTAGCAGAGAACTGTAAAGCTCTACATATCAATCGTATGTCATGTAGATGTCCTTTGCAAGCTTTAAAACTATTTCAAGACTTATGTTAGGGTTTGCACTTGAGGCTGAATACGCGAGCTTTAGATAGGTTGCTGCTAGGCGGACAGCAGCACGGTCGTGAGATTTGTGTCCACAACAAATAAATGGCAAAATTAAGAGATAAATAGACCACATTAGCTCCATGCGGCTTCATCCTAAAATTTTCGACACTAGAGTTATAATCAGCATAGAGTGCGGGTGCGCGTTGGGCCCTAATGTGAGGCAGATAAACGAACTAGAAAAAGAGCGGGGCTTACCTGACGCGCTTGTAGGTGTCAATATAAAGGGCGTAATTTAGCGTTTGAGGCCGCAGACAAGTGACTTCGCTCTAAAGGGTCTATGGCGGCAATTCCGCTGGCATTTCCCGACAATTTACGAATCTACTTAGTCGCTATTCGATATCCTACAAAGCAAAGACATGGAAACCATAAGTCCTACGAAATTGACTCATTGCCCTGGTCGATTGAAAGAGACAAGCAAAGCGTGGGGACACTACTGTAGAGGGCCCTCCGCCTCGTACCGGGGGGGTGAGGCTGGCGCATACACATTCCTAATTTTGTTAACTGTCGACTCAATGAATGATCCGGACAGGTCTCTTTGGCGGCCAGAGTTGCCAATTTGTCCGGTCCAGTCTCCTAGGACACACCCTGTACACCTGCAGTAACTTGATGCCAACGCTGCACGGAGAAGATCCTTGTGCTGCCACGAGGATTTCGCGCGCTCGCCGTCACCTTGGGATGGATCAGGGGTGGTTGACATTGAAGATCCCAGGAACGGGGTTGTCGAAGGCTAGAAGTAATTTACCAAAGATTGTAGAGAAATGCGGCGACTTACTCATTAGTCTATCTGCGAGATGCCTAATTGATCAGGTGTAAAGCTGGTTCAGAATGAATCACAAACCACACCGTGTGCAAACATATTGTATATTATAATTCGGGGGGAAGGGCAGGGGCGGGGCAATAGTTGGGGGTTTCAGCGGATAAAACTATAGGTAATAGTCACGCGCAATCTGCAAGTTAAAAGAAGGCCCCCGAACGCGCTCATCCGCATGGGCCCTTGGTTCTGTCAAGAGACCTTCTTGGATACATCGGCTGTCTACTTCGGTCTCTCACACACACACACATGCCCTCAGTTTCTTTCTTCATCAACTGTTCCAATGCAGTTTAAATAAAGTAACAGACAAACCTACTGTCGCCAATCTGAACAAATTGGCCAAATAACATCTTCAATATCTAGCCCCTCCTCCCCTACCCCTTTGGCCCTCGCCCCTCTTACCCCCTGGTATATACTCACCAACTTCCTTGTTCTTTGTTGCTCCTGTCCTCTTTAATTCCTTCTCCCCATCACCAATATCTTCTACAGGTCCCTTCCAATTTACACCCTCGTTCGAACCCTTCCCTCACATTCTTCTCCCTCACACTCCCTCATAACAACTTGTCTCGCCAAGTCCCCCCGGCTAACTTCGCTCATTCTTGCAGACAACTCATCTGCCTCATGGCTTATTGCTCTTTCTCCCCATCCTACCGGCATATTTCACTCATAGATGGATCTATCGACCTCTCGAATTACACTTGCCGCTCAAGTTCCTGAATCCTTGCCCTCACCGACCGAAGACAAGGCCTTAGAACGAATATCAACTTATCAACAACAACCTGTGTTTCCCACCAAGTCTTGTCGCAGATTCTCAAGCCTAGCTCACTCAGCGCGCGACAAAACCTCAAGTGCCATTTCGAGCTGGAGTCTCAAGATCCCTGAGCGCTCCAAAGGAAACCAACTATCACCAGGAGGCCAAAAATCCTCCACCATCGCTTCAATTTCAAAAGAAACTTTCCCACACCGATCTACCAATAGCTTGCGTGACCTATTCCTATCATCCAAGTCTTCCAGTGAATCTGTAGCCTCCTTTCCCCCAACTCCAAACGAAGCAAATAACTCCATAGTCCGATCAAAGTCACCTCTAGAGATAACGTCCTCCTACCTTCATAATAAAAGAAGCTGCAAGCTTCTAGCTCCAATTAAGCTATTACCGCCACCACCTCCTAACCCGAAGAAAATGCATCAAACATCATCGCGGTTACTGCGGATGACAACAGATGATCGTCCATTTACAAGGGTAGGGCCTAAAAAGATGTAACTTCAACTACTGGGCTCTATTAACTAATCTGGTGACAGGACTTTAAGGATCTCTTTGCCACTTTGATTGTTAGCCTACCGCTGGCATCTCATCGTATAAGGTTGACACGAATCGATCATTCTTTTTTATCTGAAGAAGCAATTAATAACCTGGGTTCCCTCAAATTTTCCCAATCCAATCGAATGCCTGATCCTAAGGACCCATCTCGTATCGTAACCACAACAACGACGACTACTTTTTCTATGGCACGAGAAATGGCACGGTCAGTGTGTCAAAGATTTTTGGACGCTAGATTTATTGAATCTGCCGATGGTAAACATATCAAAGAGTTTCCCATGAAGGGTTGCGTTTGGCAATTAACTCCAAAGGGTATATTTGTCTTGGAAAGATTCTGTGGCAAAAATGGAATCCAACAGAAGCACGTTTTGGAGCTCATCAACTCTCCCCGCAATACGATGCAGCTAGTTATACTCGAGAGAGATTCGGGTTCAGATAAACTATCTGCAGACCGGTGCACGATTGAAGTAATTTTTCGTCGGTTCGTGGGTCAGAACGGGCCAAATGTCAAGTGTCACACGAGCTCAGCTGATCAGGATTCACTTTGTGACTATAAGGATAGTGTAGCTGGAGTACGAATGGTGAGTGAGAGGAAAATCGGTAATCGGATTTTTACGCAAACCTTTACTGGTCGAGTTGCTATAGATTGGTTGATGGATTGTTGTACCACCGTGGATCGACTCGAGGCTGCACAAATCGCAACTCTCTTTTTGTCACACGGACTAATGTTCTGTGTTCACGCCGACCGACAGTATCTAGCGCAATACAATGGATCAAAGAAAGAAAAATCGAGTATTTTCCAGCCGACCAAAAGCGCTATATACCAGGTATCTGCTAAGGGCAAGAATGTCGTAGACATGAACAAATGTGATCATATACTAGATGGTGACCTTCACGACGGTGGATATAGAGCTAGTGTTTCGCGCGATTCAAATACCCAAAAGCTAGATAAAATTCTGAGTGATGCAGCCCTAAGGTTATTATTTAGGGAAAATCTACGCGATACGCACTGTGAAGAAAACTTATCTTTCTATCTTGATGTCGATGAGTTTATCAAGGCTTGTAAGGCTGCCATTAAATCTCAACCGGTGTCTGTCAAAAATAGCAAAACTTCATCCTCAAACCTCGATACTATAAAGGAAACTATGGCTGCAGCATACGGCATATATAACGCTTTTCTTGCACCCGGATCGCCTTGTGAGCTAAATATTGATCATACATTACGAAATCAACTTGCAACACGTATGACTAAAGCTGTTGGTCACGACAGCACTATGACTGAGAGTCTAGCCGAAGTCAATAAGCTATTTCAGGAAGCCCAGGTATCCGTCTTCAAACTTATGGCTAGTGTTTGTATTCCCTTCAGAAACCCAGACTTTAATAAACACAAACTAATTTGTTTAGGATTCGGTCCCTAAATTTATGAAGAACCCCAAATATGAGCAAACACTCAAGAATTATGACTTTGATTCAATTATGCTCAAAAGTCCTACTGATCACAACATGAGTCGGAAAGCCAGATGAAACAAAACCAACGAATGATCGAACCTCTATAGATCCTCCCAAACGCTGGAGTTAATGTAAACTTTAATGATCCATTCCATTACCGGTCGACTCTGTAATTCTTGAATCCTCCGTACGGATTCCAACATGACCATACAACACGAGAGATTTTATGAGATGAAAACGTCGCGCCGAAATCCGCTAGTGGAACGTGGAAGGAATGTGCTACTAGACTCTCAACATAATCCTCACACGTCCTGGATCATAACGAACACTATCAACATGCAAGCGACAAGTAATAAGAAAGACTAGTCTCAAAAATGCTGAAGTCTTGCAGTATTGTTAAAGAAGCGGACCTCAGAATGCTGTGCTGGCCACAAACCTACTCAGCAAAGCGAAACACATACAACTAAGTTTTATGATCTTCATTTAATAGTATGACTTGTGAAATTCACATGTTGAAAATCCTTCAAAATTATACGAGTAGATTGCGCCGATTTCTTGCGCCAACTCTACAAACAAATAGGGATATGTCATACGCAGACATAGTCAAGGAGCTGGAATTCGGTTAACCAACTACCACCAACGGCAATCTTATTCTTGATACCGCATACTTTGGATAGATCAAGACAAGCGTCACTCTTTGCGTTTACACCTACAGTCACGCTAAGGTTTTACAAAGTTACCTCTATCACTGACTTTGAATAGAGTTAGAGGAGATGAGGAAATCTTTCAGTAACTTAGTTTACAATACCCCTAAACTTATACCGGATAACATCTGCATTTTACAGAAATACATAAATTTTAATGTCAATTTTCTGTATTTATCACAATCATAGATGACTAAGACCCTAAGATCTCTCGACGAAATGAAGTAAGCAGTTGGATAAATTTCTTCATACATATTCCACAAATTTATATTCTCTGTCAAATATTTAGAGTAGTTCAGATGTCTCATTGCTTTAATGTAGAAATAAAATGACTTTTTTAGCTAGATACAATCCCTCATCGTTTCTATCTTAATAAGACAACTAGATATCCCCTCTGATAGCCGTAATAGTTGACGTCTTCAGAATAAGTTGAAACTGCGTCAATACCTTGCATTCACATCCTGAAGATGGCATCCACCTATATCATGCGTCCTTGATAGCTTTAGTTTCCATAATTTGACAAACTGCGCTCCCGATTTTTAAGCTATGAATCAACAAAAGATCATCCTATCTTGAAACTTTCTGCCTTGTTATAAAAAGGTATAGGTCTCTTGAGAGAATGTAATTCCCGAGAGATTGGAGTTGAGACTTTATTGAATCAGAGGAATAGAGTTTAATTAAGATTTGTATATTCTATCACTTTCTCCCTCCTCGTGTCGCTGAGTCAGCGAGTTATACTTCGAGTACTAAGCTAAGCTTCAAGGCTACTGTGGGTACAGGAGTGGTTGAGACGATTGGGGTCGCTACGTACAAGGCCATATCGCTTGGCCCGCGTGGATGACTAGAAAATTTGTCGCAAATCAAGTGGCAATGAGAAACAAAAAACAAAACTCTAGAATAATAGGTGGGTTTCTCTTGTAGGACCCTGGTCGATGAGCTCTTCTCACATGATCAGTATCATATTTTATCTTCGCCACTGCCGAGAGCTAGTGATTAGCGCACTTAATTCCTCTTTAGCTGGAAAACTCGTCCCAAGTTGGATCGCGGGCACTTTTGGCCTCGCGATGATATCGTCTTTGCATCATGTTCCTCTAAGTCTCAAGCGCGCCGAATCTCAAATCTTGGCGTAGTTAGGTATTTGCGTGGTAGTGGGCGTTGACGATCTCTTTTCGGGCGGCAAGCGCAGCTCGGCCTGCCGAATTCTCAGCCATTGCGCTATTTTCGGCAGGGCGATGCGCATGCTCCAGCCTCACCGGCGCGTGTGTGATGAGAATGTTGGAAGAAGTTTTGAGGGCCGCTAGGACGTGGATTCCATCTCGACGTCGGTCCTGGTGATTTTTCTAGCTACAGAGGCGCGCACCGAGAGGTCGCGGCCGTGAGTTTTGCATAGTCCCGTCAACCTTTTGTGGGCCAAGTATCCCGCGACCAATAGAGCCTAGCCGATGGTTGGTTTAGGCACGTTGGTTCTAATTCATGTCCATGTGGTTCTGACAAGACAAGGAATGCTGGCTGATGTGGCGGCTGCAATCGTTGCCATGGACTGGACAATGACTGCGCGTATAAATAGCCCTATGAAGTCTATTGATAGTCTTTATCATCTGTTGGGCTGGAAAAGGGAGGATTCGACGAACGTGGCGTTGGCGATAATGATTGCGAGACTGGCTGCTTTTTGAGTGACTCATTGATCCTCAGCAGTAGAATATGCCGTGGCTCGGACGAGCAGTCGACTCTCGTGAAAGCTTTCTCCCATGCCTTCAACTACGTCTGAGTGGTGTTGGACGCTCAATGTTCACGTAAGTATTCCTCGGCGCTTGCGACTGACGCAAACACCTCAGTATTCATCGTTCCAACTTGGAACAGTGGCTTCTTGAGTTATCCAACGTGGCGTATTTACAGAACACTGATCGCTCATCGCTCAAACACGAAAGAGAGGCAATGGCGAGAGAGGGAATACTTGAAGGTGTTTTGATCTCAAAATTGTGTGCCTTTGTATTGAACAGGCTAGCAGGCTAACGGACTAAGCCGGCCTCGAGTCTTCCCAGACAAAGATGAGCGTGGGTAGAGAGTTTGTAGAACGCGTGGTGCTAAACTCCGCGCCAGTATCTGCGCGAGTCACAATTTTGCTCAATATGAGTGCCAGCTTACTAGGTTTTATTTAGCATCAGATTTTAGTTGCGGATGCAGCTATCTAGCCATGAGACTTAATCAAAGAAGAGCACTCATACCTCGGATTTCATTTGCAAGCACCACGGCGAAGCTATGGTGGCTTTTTCTTCACCCTCATCCAGCCCTCATCCGTGAATACCCGCCCAGGGAAATGTTTCAGAAACCCTGAGTTATCCAGACATGACTCCATATCTATTTACTTTTCTCCGCGCGAATCATGATCTGAGATGTCTCCTTCCCAAGTGGAGTAGCTTACTAGTTGTATTGGGTCTGATAGATTAGAACGCTTTAACCAGGTGTAGCGGGCTGAGGGAAAAACTTACTTTACCTGGACTCTTTTAGGAGGCGAGTTTTCTTTGGATAAGCTGTGTAGGGATCTGACCTGCAACTTTGAACATGCCCCACCAGCATTTGGCCACTAGCACTAACAGTCTAATTTCATCAGTTTAAACGATTCGAAACATATAGATTTTGACTCCAAGTTTCCTGAGTCAATCATGGATAGCCTTGTGAGGAAGAATGCTAAAGGGGTATTGACTCAGAGACCAAAGGCGACCGTGCCTATTGGATTTTTTCACTACTTCCTGCTAACACAATACAATAGACTATGAAAATCAATTGTCGTTAAGCTGAGTAAACTTAGACTAACTGATGTGCATACGCTCCTAAGGAAGTACGGTTTATCAGATTGAAAGCTGGCCGCTATCCAGCGCCTCAGAATGCCGTGAAATTTGAGAAAAAATGGCTGCCTATACCAATCATCAGAGCGGCTCTCATCTATTGGCAAAAATTGAGCACAACAATATACAAATTTACTATTAACTTTAAAGCTATTTAGATAGTTTTAGCTATCCTTCATAGTCATAGACTCAGTAGGGACATAAATAAAATTCTATTCTATTCTATCAGAGCGGTTCTCAATGACTCAAAGTCTTCTCTTATATCCGCTCCACTTTTACCATGACCTAATACCTCTCCCTTCCTTCCTTTTAGACTTTCCTACCTTCATTAAACATTTGTACCCAGTCGCTCAAGAGAGGTTTCTTCTCTATCTTTCTAGAAACGCACCATTCTCCTCATAATTCATTTATCCTGACTCCAAGTCGGCACCCATCAAATTATTCCTCGATTAGTCTCCCGAGCTAATGATGTATTGTTTGATATGTTGGATGATGGGGGCAGTCTTTAGAACATGATAGATAGATATGAGGTAATTATTGACAGAGAAGGTCGCAAATTGTGATCTAAGCCCTTTGATTTCTAATTGAGAAATGATAGATGATATTTTGGGGTATCATAGGATTGATGTAGTACTGGAGCAATATAGTGACCACTTTGAGGTGCGTGCTGCTGAAATATTTGTCTGAAACATTGAATGCGCACTCAGCTATTTATCTAAGATTAGGGACTGGTTTTTGGGGTACAAATTGGATGTCTATTTTAAGTTTAGAGACTCACACTCCGCACAACACTCGCAAATGCTACATGAAGTGTTTGTTCACACGGAAAATCGGTCCTCCTTTTTGATGATCTGACAAGGTGAAGTTCAAGACCTTTGGATATCCAAGCATACCATCGTCAACAGTGCACATGAGCACTGCGAGAAATTTGGCGAGGTCTCACTTGATTCGAGCTAGCGATCTCCTGTCTTGATCGGGATGAGTATCCAAGCTGTGAAATCTACTTGGGTGATCAGCCATAATCATATTTGTAGTGTGACCAGCGCCATATTAATGGGAGTGGTGGCGGGCATAATGCTCTTGAATATGGAAATCCCTTCCCGATAATCGAAATTCTATCTCTTCCAGAATGGTTTCGTCTATGCTAACATGTTGTGTGCATCCAAAGTGTCATTCTTGCCAGGTTTGTCTTTTCTTATGGATATTCATACTGTCATTGGCGTGTATCTGGAGGCCAGTTGACGACAAAAAGATAGAGAGAGGTCTGTTTATTGTACTACTTGAGTCTTAGACTATCTAGCACATTCAACTCCTCTCTGGCCCAGGCCACACCTTGCCTCTTTTGTCACTTGAAAGATCATTGATGTAATGCCCGTGATGAATAGTCATTCAGCTCAGTATTTACCCGTGGAATTCGCCCACCTTTTCCCCGGATCCTTCTACCCAAAAGAAAATAAAATGGTAGTAGTTGAAACTGCGTGCGCGGGAAAAATTCTCAAAAAACCTGCAGCCCATACCAGGCGAG